ATTTATTTATAATTTGAGAAAATTCAAAAATCAATTTAATTTTGTAGCTAAACTTTGTTATTCAGTGAAGTATCAACAGAAGAGAACTTTACGAAAAGCGCAGGCAATTGTTATTATTGTTGCTGTTGTTGTTGTTGTTGTTGTTTGCTGCCAACACTTAAGCCACAAAATATACCCAAAGTTTATATTTCTTAGCCGCTCAAATTTTTCTTTACATAGATACGTGCGTATTCATATATATGTGTGTGTATATATAGATATATACACACACAGAGACAGACAAGTTGCTTGGCCTAAACGACAATTTGCAATTTGCCTTTGCTTAACCCTTGTCCATTGCCTCAAATCTGACTCGTATATTATATGTGTGTGTGTGTGTGCGTGTTGTTGTTGTTGTTGCTTATCCTGTTGCTTCAGTTCTTCTTCCGCAGCAATTTTATTTTGACATACTTCTCGCTGGGCATCTAAAACAATTTTAGGGCTCGGGCAAAAGTTTCCAACTGAGTTGATTATTCTCAACGCAAATCAAAGGCAGCCGCAGTTGGCATCATTGGGCAGCCGGCTCTTTTTTGTTTTTTGTTTTTTGTTTTTTCTAAATATACCCAGTAGGCAATCAAAATGAAAGAGTTTGCTCACTGGTCTGAAAAGGAGTTCCTAAAAAATGGTGCAGCATTAACAGCTGATGAGATCAAATCAAATGTAGAATAGATAGCGTATTCAGATTATATAAATATTAAATTATTTCGACTCCATCTCTGGTAACTGTTAGTCGGGCTGCCTGACTGATGTAGTCTAATTTGCTAAATTTATACATTATTTCTCTTTGTTGCCTTCTTTGCATTTTATTTAATAAAAAGCGCCGCCTTTTATCTACTCCGATTACATGGCTGGATGTGACCTTGCACTCTGGGTATTTGCGACCTAAATATTTTAGAATGAATTTCCCAAATTAAAGCCAATCCGGCTTATCCAAGCCACTGAGCTTTACGAACTTGAGCACACACACTCCCCCTAGGCGCCCAAAGGTATTAATTAGTATTGCACAATGAACCTGGGATGGCGAGCTAGAAACCAAGCCAGGGCCAAGGGCAAGCCAAAACTCAGCGAAGAGCTGAACGCTTGAGCTGAAAAGCGTCCAGCTACAACTTATTATAATACAACAAAAAGCAAGGTAAAAACTGGCAAAGGAGCAACAACTGCAGCCAAGGAAGGGGAATAAGAGAGGAAGAAAATCCATAATGGCTTCGCATTACATTTTTTCGCGTGCTTCTTTACCGTATCGACACACATACACGCACACACACACACACGCACGCACGCACAGCTTGAACTATATGGCAACAAGGTGTTAACATTCCCACGCCATGATATGCTCATATGAGACGCGCCGACAAGTTGCACGACATTTACAGACAGTTGCAGACATAAAGACAGCTGAGGACGGGGACAGGCAGACAGCTAGAGAATATATATAAAACGTGATGCTGTCCTCACATTCCAGTGAATATATTGCAGAGAAAAAGAAGCAGCGCAGGCCTTGGTAGTAATGAGCGCGGCGAGCCTTCAAACAAGAAAATTCTTGACAGTTTCCTTTGAGCATTCGGCAACGCCCCAAAGTAGGCAACGCTTCCGATGAGCAGCATTTTGTAATATACACAAATTACGTGTATTCACAATGAGAGCTGCATAATTGAAGATAATTTGCAAAAAAAAAATTATAATAATTAATAAATAAATAAATAAAAAAAAAACCGTCCAAGCAGAGTCTAAACTTTAAATTAGCTGCAATTTAAAGCATCAGTAAAAGTTGCATTTAATTTAATTACTCGTGAAGCACTTCAGTTTAGCCAGAAAGGTTCTTGTTTAGAAAAATTATTATGCAGAAAAACTCGGAAAAGAATAGAAAAAATCATAGAAACAGAAAATAAAAAATAAATAGATAAGAAAAGTTTATAAATTGAGCACTAAATAAAAATGAAAAAATGTAGAAGATCCGCAATGAATATCTAATTAATATACTAATACATATATAATATCTGTTACGATATCTATAAATAAAAATATTAAACTAGTTTTATATTGACTAACTCGAATCAGCTACTATTAAACTTGTATACATAATATGTATTAGATATCATATCAGAGATTAGACGCACTCATAATAAGCCTATATGCTAATAGACGAGTTTTCACAGATAATTTATAGAATGCCTGAAAGTATATGAATAGGCCGAGTAATCTTTGGCATTGCCAGCCCTAAATCCAACTTTTGCAATGGATGGAATACAGCATTTATCAAGTCGGATGACTTGTCTTGGTGCTTCCCGCTCAGGCACATTTATTTTTATTGTCTTTTCCAAAGCATTTGCGGCATTTTAACATTTTTATGTGGCAATTTTTGACGCCTTCCTCTGCGGCGAGCGATAAGCAAACTGGGCAACCGAAGCCGCATTTTACCGAGCGAATCCCATGCCCCGGCTATGGCAGACTTTAATGTATACATTTGAATGCCATTATCACAATACGCTGGCGATAGGCAGCCACAGCCAACAATAACACCAACAACAACAACAACAACACCAACAACAACAACAACAACAACAGCTACAACAACAATAGATACTTGAACAATCAGCAACCGAAAGCCACTCATTTTCTGTTTTATACAGCTGTGGTTGTCCGTCCCTCTCTGCATCTCTTTGTCTCTCTCTCTCTCTCTCTGTCTGTCTGTCTGTATGTGCGTCTGCCTGGGTGTCTAATATATCTGTGCTTGTGTGTGTGTAGCGGTTATTTCCAAGCAATTTACTTTAATTCGTCGCATTTTAGAGTGAGGCATATGCTAGGCCAACAAAAACAGCAGCAGCAACAACAACAACAACAACAGCAACAACCACTCTAGTGTAATTTCATCAGTTGACTAAAATTACTTGCCGCAGCCGCGTCACCTGTCTATCTTTCTGTGTATGTGTGTGTATTCCGGATAATAATGTTTTTATTGAGCGAAATCAACATAATCATTAGCATAATCATCATCATCTAACAAACCCAGCTCATCATCGTATGAGACTTTTTTGTAATTCCAATTATTCTTAAATATTCATGCAGCAAATTGAAATTGCAGTCAGTGAGGGCAGATGAAGGGATATGAAGGCATCCCAAAATTCTAAGCAGGATTAACAATGTTTAAATAATTTTAAGCACCATATTTATTTTTTCGGCTGCTATTGCATGCCATGTATAAAAGAGGCTTTAGGGCTTAGATGATACAAGTAAAGCCGAAACCGCCGAAATTTTTATATTCACATATTTCAAGGCAAAAGTTTATATATATTAAAAAATGAGTATTTTCAATTAGAGTTAGCAGAGGGGAAATGTTAAAAAATAGATATTTTTATCAGAGTGTTATTTAAAGCCTGCTTAAATAGCAGAGCTGCTTAGAGCACTGATAAGGATTTCATAAATTGAAAACTATTTATGGAATTTTATTTTTTGAGTGCATAAAGTAATTTAAATAAAATTGGCGTATATTGAATCAATATCAGAAAATCTGACATGAGCCAATTTCTGTTAACTTTTTGGAGAACTGTCAATGCCACCCTCGCAATGGGCAAACTTTATCAGGCTGTCAATTTGGCTCAGTTAATTGCAGTAGATTGGCTTTGGGTGGGGTTGGATTTTGTACGGCGATTTAATGGCCAATTTCCATGCGCAGCTTTTGAGTGTCTAACATATTTAAGAAGCCCCACAAAATGTGTGCCAAATTGGAAGAGTGATTGTCCAGTGCGCAGCCGAGCATAAAGCAAAAATCAAGCGCGCGTGCAAAATGTCGAACCTGTCGAATGCACCACGACGCGTGGCGCCCGGTGCAGCCACGCCAGTTACCTCGACAACAGCAGCAGAGGCAGAGGCACCAGCAGAGGCATCAGCAGAGGCAGAGGCAGCAACTCCGATGGCAATGGAAGCTGGAGCTTCAGCTGCAGCTGTTGCTCCACCCTTGGCCACATCTGTGCTAACGGCGCGGTTGAGCGCCGACAACACGGTGACTAGCTGTGCGCTGGCCATGGAGCAGCCAATGGCAGCCACATCCTGCCCGGACTCGCCCATACGTCGCGTCTCCTCGAGCTTGAAAAACTCTGCACTGGATTTCGCATCGCGTTTTTTCAAAAAATGCAAAGCGGCGACATTTACTGTGGACGGCGCCACCTACACAATCGGTGAGTACATATCCCAAATGCGTGAATCGAAAAAAAAGCGAAAAGAGAAAAAACAACAATGGCAAACGAAAATCCGTTCGCCAATGCTAAAAATTGGACGAAGGTCAACAAGTGTCTGATGGCACTAGAGAGAGAGAGGGAGAAAAAAACACGATGGTTGCCTCTGTAAGGAGATTTAAAGGATTCTGCCAGTCAATTTGGTCTCTATATATTTTTTGCTCCTTTCACGTTGCTCTTCTCAGCGTCGTATTTTCCTTTGTCTCGTTTTCAATGCGTAGCTCTATCAGTATATATTGTTTTGCATATAAATATATTTGTATGTGTGTGTGTGGGTCGAACTGCCATTGTGTGCAAGGTCGTCATTTGACATTGTGCTCAGTCTCAATTGTGCAGGTGCGCAATGTTTATTTTATTTTTGTTTCATATTTGTTTATTGTTCACAATTACAAGGCAGAAATTTGCAGTCGGCTGACACTGACTACAAAATGCTCTGCAAAGATAAAAGATACTACAGATGCTCTGTAGACAATTTGATCTTGAATCAATTGATTCCAAGGCAATTAAAGGGTGCCAGCTCTTAATATCTTAAGATTTTACTAGCCAAGATAAAATTTTCTTAACTTTCCTTTAGCAAAAACTTAATTTATGCAATTTTCATTATTATAAATTTCATTTGCCCAGCTCTTCAATGAGTTTTAAGTTTTGATTTCCCCATCGTAAATTGCGAAATTTTATGCTATTTATAGTTTTGTTTTCTATCTCTGAAAATTATGCGATGTTGTTTGCTTTTGATGCTCTTGCCATTTCATTTTATGCGACTAATTGGGGATTAAATGTCTTTGCAAAGATTTTTCGCGCTGTGAAGTAGCCGATAAAAACGTCAAAGGCTTGCTGGAGATTATAAATAATGTTTGTATAATATAACGACACGAAGAGGCTGAGACGTTGCGTAGCTTAAAACTTTAAGTTTTTATAAACCAATTAAGTGAATTATGCTTAATGGGTTGAACTTGAGAATAAAGAATAGATTAAATTGAAGATAATGCACCAGATAAGCATCGGCATTATATTATTTTAAAGTTTTGACTTTCCTCACTTGCTCTAAAAATTAATTAAATTGACTACTTCAATTTATCATTTATTTTATAATATTTTAACTTCAAGTTAATATATTAATATTAATAAATACAGTTGATTACTTACTTATTCAATTAATTGTTCATTAAATACAGCAGATATTAGCTTGAGTTAGTTAACCGTAAGCTCAATTACTATTAATTATTTGCTGCCTATCGATCGTGATTGTTTTAATTAATACAGAGACATGCGGGCTGCATAAATTCGCAAATTAAATTGCAGCTTTCAATTCGCATCAAATCGTAATAAAGCAGCAAAATTTGCACTGAAAACAGAAACCGAGTCTGTAACCGAAAACTCACGTGGCAAAGCGTTAAATGTGCCCTTATATTTACTCCCAAATGAATGCGCTCTGGCAACTTTTAGACCTGCCTAAGAGATAACCTGGGATTGGGTTTTCTTTTTGTTGTTGTTGTTGTTGTTAATGTTATTGTTGGCGAATGTGGCACGCAGCAGCTCGATACTCTTAGGACATGCAAATCCATCAAATTTGGCAATACACGCGAATCATGTTACCGTGTGTAACGGCATGTGTTTATTTAAATTCCGCGATAAATCAGTTCAATTTGATACTCTCACATCGAATGCGGCGTCCTCCACAGACTGACGAAATATTTATGACATCGGAATTCAATTACACAGGCCAACAGCAAAAAATCAGAGTGTTTCAGATCTTGAATGAATTAACATACATATATTGGTACTGGATTCTAGTTGATTAAAGTATTACTTGACTACTTCAAATTCAGTTCTAGATGTAACAACAAATCTCTCTCTGCCACATACATATCATCTATTGACAAACACCTGCTTATAAGATAATCATAGATCTGAAGAGAGCGAGGTGGATCTGACCAGTGAATGCAATGGATTAGATTTCTATGATGGAGCTACCCGAATTTTATATTCCACTCGAATTTCATATTCTACTCGAATTACATATTCAGCAAGCTGTTCTTTGATGCCTACTAAATCCTGCTGGCCAGTGTAATTATTAATTTGCAATAATGCGAATTGCGGTCAGTAATTGCCAATGCTGAAATGTTAATGGGCGCGATAGCTATTTATAATTTATATATATGCACACATACAACTATATAAATGTATATATAAAATCATGCATGAACCTACATGCGTATCGCTAGTTAAGGGCTGGTCAGCTGGTTAAGTAGCACTTAACGCTTTTTAGCGATGTCATTTAAAATGTCATTTAAAGTTGGTCGATGCGAAAGACTGTCATTGTAGTCCCGCAGCAAGATGGGTGGTCCAGGCCGTGCAGGAGAGTGTGTGAGCGAGGCAGAGTGAGCCAAAGGAAATGCACGAATGATAAATTGCCCAGCTACAAGGAGACACTGGGAGTTGCGTTCGCATCCGGGCCAGAGCGCCAGCTGGACGCCAAGTGCATCAGCTGTGACATCAATTAAAACTTCTGTGTGTGCCAAGACGCAACAGGGCTGCAATTTCCACAGGCATAATGCAATTAAAATTGCACCAAAAGCAAGGCAAAACAATCTCTAGACAGTAACCGTGCCAGCTGCAACATGTGCGCCCCTGGAGCTTTATTAATAAGCCTCGCCAGCCTCACCAGCCATGCCAGCCTCGTCGGCCTCAGCAGACCTGAGCAACTGTTCAAGTTTCGGGAGCAAACTTCTGTTACTTTTAATCTTTAATTGCTGATGTCTCCCCCTGACTGGGAGCGCCGGAAGTCAAAAGACAACCAAGTAATCGGGCAAATAGGCGGGCGCCCAATGACAGCCAGGGGAAACAACAACGGCCAGCCTACGGTTCTACAATGGAATACCCAGCCATTTTCAGCTCCACCTTCACTTAGTTTTCGTGCACTGAGCACTGAGCACTGAGCACTGTGAAGTTGTCCGGAAATGGCATTGTCAACGCCAGATGTGAATAGATGGCCAACAATTTTCACTAGTTGCTGCCCGTCGTATGCCCCAGTGGCCAACCAGTGCTATTTCTGCTGGACAAACCTCGCTCCAGTCGTCGCTCGTTGCCATAGATGAGCAAATTAAAAACGATGATAGGCAAGAATGAAAAACATCCTTGATGAGCAGACATCACATGGCTTCAATGGAACCCAGCATGTCCTTGTTAATTGTTCGGCAATTACAAATCAATAGGAAGGCACAAAGAGATGAGATTCAAGAGAGAGAAAGTGCTGTATTGTTTTCAATTTTATTGAATCTTAAAGAAGAGAAGTCATTCTGTTTCTGTAATTATTATTTAATCACTCTGCATAACCTTGACAATTACTCGGCAATTACAAATCAATGGGAGGGCACAATGATATGAGATTTAAGAGCGAAAGCTCTGCAGGGCTTTCTTTATTGAATCTTAAAGAATTCTATAATTATTATTCTGTTTCTGTTTCTATAATTATTATTTATTTGTCTGCTCATAATTGATTGTTACTCGATAATTACAAACCAATTGTAAGACATGAGATTTATGGGACTCATTTGAGAATGTTTACATTGCTTTCAATTTAATTGAACTTTCAATAGAAATTGCATTCCCGTTTCAGTTTAATTACTCTGCATATGCTTGCCAGGTAATTAGGCAATTATAATCAATGGGTAGCCACAATGTGATATGAAATTTCCAAACGAGCGAGTTCCACATTGCTTTCAATTCGGTTGAATCTTATAGAAGAGCTATTTATGTATGTCAGTATCGATTCTAGAAGACTTGATTGAGGTCTGCTTATGAATTTGTCAACTTTGGCAACAAAAGGCAATGCTGTGTTCATTGTATAAACATCTAGAGATATACAGATGTATTCGGAATGCAGTCAGATGTGATTCGTGAGCTGGCAAGCGCAATGCACAATGGACGTTAATTAAAAGCAAACAACTCAACTTTACTACGAGAATCCAGCATTAAATAATCTTGAGCGAATTTGCATTTGCAGCATTACGAACAGCTGCAACAGCCTTAGATTTGCAAGTAGTGCAGCAGTAGGAGGAGCAGGAGGCGCAGGAGTAGAGCATTGCCTTTCAAGCGCTGTCCAGGCCCAACTTCAATTAGAGTGAAAATCACACTTCATTCGTGCCATTTGCTGCTGCTCAGCTCGGAGCTGGGCTCGCATTAATCAGGACAGGTGGCAATCGCAATGCCATTTGGTTGCGTGGCGCAGATTTAGTAGCGAATTTACACACGGCCATAACCTGTTGCAGTTGAGGTGGAGCAGCGTTAACTGCTGGAGAATTTATTGATTGGGACAATGGGCAAGGCGCAAGCATGGAAAAAACTGAAATGAGAAAAGTGAAAATCGATTTTACGCTCAAATTGATTTGGCTTTTATTGCAGGGCCATTTAATTTACGGCATGGCTGGCTGCCATAAAAGTGGGCAATGCGTACAATGTACGCTGGAATATGCGCTTGGCAGTCTTATGGCTTATAAATTTAAATTGCGCCTAAGACGACAAAAGAACTGAAACAAATTCCTTGACTCGCGAACCACAAGGTGACTGTTCAAGCTGCTGCTGCTGCGACTCCTGCTCCTGCTGCTCCCGCTCCTGCTGCTCCCGCTCCTGCTGCTCCTGCTCCTGCTGCTGCTGCTGCTGCTGCTCCAACACGATGTCAATGTTGTTATTTGCCCATGTTGTTGTTGGTAACATTGATTTTCTGCTATGCTGCTAAATGCCAGACACAGGGCCACCCAACGCCACCTCACCTCCGGCCAGCACACACACACACCGACACACCCACACACATCCATTATTATGTTGTGGGTAGAAAGTGGATTCTTGGCTGCACCGACCACCCCCCACGCTACGCCCTACAGCAACTTTTTGATGTGCTGCCGTTGTCGAAATGTTGTTGAGGTTTGCGGGCATATTTTGGCAAAAATGTTTTTATATATCAGCTGTAGTGGGGACACAGCAGCAGCAGCAGCAGCAGCAGCAGCAAGCCATGCCAGACCAAACCAGGCCACACCCAACCGTCTGACGATCTGGCATCCTTTACTTCCTGGCTGGTTGTCAGTTGACAAGAGCCTCGAGTCGAGTCAGCTCGACTTTTGGCAATTTGTTTCGAATTTGGTATTAATTTTTCGCACAGGACACAGGAAATTGAAATGTTCCCATAACGGGAAGTCGTTAGCTCTGCC